TATCATGTGCTACAGTACCGAGAACCAAAGTCCTCATGTAGTGCAGCAAAGAACTTTTGTTAAACTTCCAAAACTCACTACGTCCACAGAAATGGTACTTACTTATGATATCCCATCCATATATCCAGTCTGTGAAATTAGCTCTTCAGTTACCAGATGGGTGATTCCCTCCAAAATCTTGGAACCGTGGATAGATGTTTTCAGGTGTTATTAGACATCTTGAAGCTATTGCTGTCAGTAGTACACAGAGGTGAGCTAAGGACAGCTGCCACTTTTTGCAGTAGCTGCAAACAGTAAATCACTGACCGCCAACCTTCTGGGTTGGAATACTGTATCTAGGTTACAGAAGGCAGGGCCTCTCAACAAATTCCTGGCTTCTCTTTGAAGATATCACTATCATGCCTTGTACCCAAATACTCTTCATCCAGAGGTGAAGATAAGCGTTTGATACTATCACCCGAAAAAGGTGAAACTAGATAAGATGCTGAACAAGAAGCACCAATGAGAATTGGCTGCTGGTTCTTCTTAGACATGCTGTGGCCTGGCAGGGTACCGTATCAGACTGTGACCTTTAGAAAAGAAGATGCAGGATCAGATAGGTCACTTTGAATGCTTAACATTTCTGCTATAAGTCCTGCCTACACAGACGCATATGAGTAAATGAAATCGAGAAACATGTAAGAATCAGAGATAAAGCAGTCCTTCAGCAAGTAAAAATAACCGTTTGTTACCCTGTGGTACTCTTGCAGAAACAAACCAAACAAATTAAAGGCAAAAATTAAGGAAAGGCAATCATCTGAAGTTACTGTTCTATTAATCTGCTGTACACCACAAAGCATCATGCTGTTTGTAGCTATGCATGCCTACTAGGCACTTGTTGATTTCCAAAATATTCAGCCCCTAGAAATTTCAGGGTGGGAGTTTTTGTGAAAGATGGTTTTTGTGTAAAATTTAAGGTTACTTAAAATTCCTAGAGGAAAATGTACACGGTAGTTTGCAGCTCCTCTTCATTATTTTCTATTTGCTTTCAAAGATTTAAGAAGACACTTTTGGTTTTTTTGGTTCAAGAAAAGCCAACTTTTCAGGTTAAAAACAATTTAACTCGCAATTTTATAAACATAATACCTACGTTTTCAAATTTCACGTTGATTTTCCTTGAAGGATAAGTATCGCTTTTGTTGTCGTTTCCCTCATGTTTGTATATTATCTGTTCCAGCTGAAGATTTCTGATACTGATACTGTTTCAATTGATAACCGTGGTTTTGAGGCTATTAGAATATTTATGTAAATATGTATCTCAGATACTCGGTTCTTCGAAATCAATTTTTGTTTCCACTACATTTCAAGAAGCGTAGTTTCAAACTGAGCATACGCTATAACTTTTCTGACTGATATGATTCACAGTGAAAATTTTACCCATCTTGCATTAAGAGAAACTAACTTTTGCACATTCTTTGAATACTATAATTATGCAAATGTGTAATATTTCGGAATATTCGAAATATTTGCATGGTTTAGCGAATTCTGAATTCTGACACTTCTCGAAATGACTTGGAAAATGAGCGACGACTTCAATGGATTTTTATTTTCTCTTGCACCCGTCATAACAAACCCTCCTGAAATTACCAGCCACAACGGTAGTTTATAGATGCTCATTAAAATAACTTTCATGTCTTCTGCAATCTCATTCGTTTTATTTATCCACGTAATATTCATTCAAATCAGTACAGTGATTGCTTGCAATAAAACACAAACCTATCCAAGGCCGAAACGTTTTGCATTCTGATAAAAAAAAGAAGAAGAAAATAATAGAATTCCGACGTGTTTAAAGTTTCGGATCCACACTTTTTCGAAATTTCTTAGGGAGAAATATTTGTCTAAAGATTTTTTCGGTGTTATATTTCGCATGCGTGTACGCATTTGCACTTATTTCGGTTTACACATGCTTAAAAGCATTTTTGGGGGATGGGATAAAATATACCACATTATCTTGTGTAGCAATTTACTGACAATATTATTAGTGTCAGCAATATGATATGACTATTCTGTAGCATTTGTGCAAGGATGTTGATTGAATAGTGAGTTCAGCTTATTTCTGTAGTTACCCTGCAGTAAAATATCGTGCATACGCAGCAATTGCATTTATACAGATGCAACTGAAGTAATGAGAATATTTGTTTTTTACATACCGTTGTGTTTATGGCAGTTTCATAGAACATGGTTGCTATTGTGAAATTGTCCCTTTTCAACATTCTAAGATTTAAAAATATATTCTTATAGTTTTCTGGATTATTTTCGTTTTTAAATGTAATTTTCCAAAGGTAGCAAATATTCATTCCACTAAGAAAAACGAAATTAGAGTCTTTTTCTAGACATTTCTAAATGAGTCTACTTGAGATGTTCTCTTTCAAAACGAATTAGTTTATTTTTGACTTAAGTAAGAGAACATATGCAGCCCCTGTGGATTTTAAATTTTTACAGTCGATGACATATAGACACAATACACTATATCAATATGTAATCAAAAATGATTTCTTTTTTGTGGTGTCTGGAAACATCCTCCTTTCAAATCATAAATTGAACTGAAACCAACATACTGCGTGTAGATACGTTTGAATTTGTGCAGTATGAATTAATTGTCCCTTTATTATTGAGGGGAACGAGCAATGTGAAAATAGAGATCAGAAAAAACACAATATATTGAAAAACTAGTCACACAAATGCATTATATCACTGTGAATTGGTTTCACAATATAATTGCGGTAGTAATTGCATTTGGCTTATAGATTACATCAAAGTGTTTTATACACCGCTATTCTGGAAAGAACTTTTCTTAGAAACGCGAAGTTTGCATCACGTGGTTTCATGTCAATTCAAAACTCACTCCGATAGCCTAACCTAGAATGACGCTATTAAGTTTCATTTTATATATGTCTGTCATTATTTTATACAATAACAATTATGCAACCATACAAATGCCCGTATATAATAACAGCCAATGAAAAACCAAGGAAGCGTTATCGTTGATATAGTATTTTAGTCGATGGTGTAGGGCTATATTAAGCATGTTTACATATTATATATGTAATGTGTGTATATATAGACCCAATGAAACCTACGAACTCTATTACATGACTTAGTAAAATGTTTTTGTTAATATGTCGGTTGTTAAAGTTGTTCAAATAGCAAGGTTCAAGTGGATTGGTTTAGAGCTAAATATTAATAGTTTACTGTTTGTTATATAAACATATAGGTGACATATATTGCTAATTACTGTAAAGGCATCGGAAATCACTTTTACAAAAAGCAAAGTTTTGGTATAGATTCACGCCTCTTTTACCTCGCATTTAAGTCACATATAAATACATGTTCCCTATTTACGCTGATACTTTCTGTAGACGTTTGATTACTCTGACACGGGAACTGTAAAAGTAAGGGTAAGCTTTAAAAGAGCTGAGGTTTTTAGAGAATGAGCGATGAAGTTGGTTTAAGGTAGATATCGGCACAATGGCATTGGGTTTACAGCGTCAATATTTTTCTTATCTAAAAGGTGATTTAAATGGGCTCTTCCATAGCGTGAGAGGATTACATTAAATGATTAAATGTCGACCTAAAGCAATCAAAATTTAAAGCACACTAACAACTTCAAGACGTCACCGGGAAGAAGTTTAAAAAGTATTCTGGACAGACATGGACGAGAATATAGTGGCAAATATAAATTAACCGCGCCTCCTTAAAGCAGATTCGGTTACATGTAGGAGATGTGCCCATTTATTTATCTGTATCCGTCTATTCAACCCAAAACGTGGAAGGTGCTTTTAATGGCCGCTTGCCTTCGTTGAGACAAATAGCTTGTAACCCTCACCCTAAAATGTTTTTTGGTCGTGTCAGCACAGAAATAGTTAATTGCTGGAAAGTATCGACCGCTCACCTCAGCTGTGCAAACAGTAATGTGCAAGGACAATATTTTTCTCCTCCACGCATTGCCAACTTCTTAAGCTAACTTCCTAAATGTTTTGCTACATGAAAGATATAAGTTTCTACAACTTTAAAGTAACTGGGTGGCGAAAATATAAATAATGTCTTTTTTCTTATTTTACCATCTTAGGTTTTAAATTGAGAATCTAAAATCCAAACTGCATTATTATGTATGCATGACAGGTATTGTAGAAAATTTGAACGATTTGAATAATGTGTAAGTGCACATTCACAGACCTAAAAACTCTATTTTGTGAACCGAGCCAAAAGTGTCTTATTTTGATCATTGTAAATTAGAGAGTGCACTTTTTAAATTGCCGTAAACATTGCGGGTATTACTTGGTTGTTTTCTGCGTGTTATGGGTGTTATGTCACAGTCCCTATATATACATCTACATAGATGATGGCGTCAACTAAGGATATAAAGTTTAAATATTAATGTTGCTTACATTACAAGCAGAGCACCACAGAAGGGTGCACGCCAAGGCCTGATGCCGCCGTCATATACATTAACCCGTTATATGTCCAACATTCAAATACCAAGAGGAACTGGGTCAGGAGTTTTTTTAAGGGAAAAGTTCCACCTCCTTATCAATTAACTTAGGAGTATTTTACTTACGGTTTCCTTACTAGGCTACTTTGCAGTATTGTGTGAATTTAACGTGATGTTATATTGACGAGTTGTATGACATGAAAAAGATTTTTAATTTTTACCTTTATTATTAAAAATTATTAAATTATTTTCACAGCTGTAAATAATACATAAGTACATATACTTCTATACATTCTCAACTGTATTTGAAGTGCAAGTCCAAACTGTAATAGCCTTATGACGACTAATCACAGCACGAAGTACGTGTTTTAAGATCACGAAAGAGCTATGTTTTAATGTTAAAATACCATCACAGATATTTTAGAATTTAATGAATTCGTAACCTGGACCTGGCTCAGTTTACGAATTCATTACCCATTTCCTATCCATGTAGGACAAATAGCCTATTCATAAATAATTTAGTCTGAACTGGCATTTTCAAGTATTAACGAACACAATTCATCGAATCTTCCATGTAGAATACTTTAAATTCTGTTGCGGGCTGCAAACGACAAGTTGTTGAAAGACTACAAGGACAATTTAGTTGCACCGCTAAAAAAAAGGCCTCAAGCGAAGAGCATGGTCGACTGGCACCTCACCAAGCGTCCAAGAAAGACGCCAGTGAGGGAATGGTACAGGTCCGTTCCGCGCCAAGTACAGAATTAATAATATGCCGTGGTAGAACATTAAACAGGTGAAATCGTAGAAATTCTCTTCAAGCTTTAAAAAGCACTTTTTCAGTTGGATATACACGGTGTCATTTGATAGTATGGTTTTGCACGGATACAATGAACACAGAATATAACTAGGAATACGTTCTTTCGGCGGAAGGAAATCAATAAACTTTCTGATGCAACTACTCTGTAACCACGACAAAAGGCTGCTTCACCTCCCTTTAACATTACACAGTGTCAATCATTTAAGTCGAATCCACAGAAACGGCCATCCTACTCTATATTACGTAGTGAGATAAGGAACACCCTCGTACTTATAGAATTACGGTGTCTTGTCTGTGCGTAAAAGGGTTTCCTCAACCTACCTAACATTTCGTCGCTAAAATAAACTCACACACTTGCTCTATACGCTGATCTCGTAGCTAATTGCGGCGCTCGGTGAGGACGCGGTTGACACTTCGCGTTTCCTTCTAAATCCATAAGCGCATCTCTTCCCCAGTCTCTTCCCTGTAGCGTGTGCCCTACGCCTCCGAGTTGAAGTGTCGCCGTGTGAATAGATGGTGGACATTCCAGGACACGTGATCTAATCCGATCCGGCGATTTTAGCAGGGTGGAGGGTTTAGTTTTTGTGTACATAAGGTTGTGTGCGCGGATTTTTTGTCGAAGTACCGCCGCTCCGCCTCTTTTCGCAACATTGACGCAATGTATAAATACTGGAACAAAAGGACAACTTCCTTGAAGCTTGGTGAAACTGCATTTTAAAACAAGCACTAGTCTTTATTTCCGAACAGATGGAAATGTCGTATTGGAATATAAATTTTGCCATTAAAAGCAACGCGTCGACTTGCACATTTGGACGGAAATCCAGCTTTCAGCGGCGCTCAAGTAAGTGGCATTAAGCAAGCTTTTCTTTTCGTATTTGCTTCTCATACTATTTACAAGTATATGAATTGAGTTTTAGATAGGCACTTCGTTTGCTTATTAAAATGGTGTATAGACCAATGCGGGTTTTAATATCTGAATATTGAAGTTGGTTAGCAACGCCTGGCAATAGGAAACACGAGGTTCATTGATTAAAAATCCTGTAGCTTTAAAAGAGGTAAACATCCAACCCACTGTACATACAGTTGTAGCGGATGAAAAAACAAGATGACGTAATTAAATTGATTCATAGTAAGGTGAATAGGACTTAGTTTACAAACGAACCTGTCTTTTTTAATTAAGACGATTTAGCTTTTCGCTACTGTTTGGTGGTTAATGACTGATGTTTGTTCTGATAATTTAGAAATTACATTTATATCGCTATATGAGGACGAATCTCATTGAAACGCCGATGTGTGGGTTAAGATATTTGTTAATTTGAACATTACATTAAAATAGTTTTCGAAGGCGCTTGATGCCGGCGCGACATCATATTAGATTAGCTATGATGTGTTTACTTTTACATTAATTACAAGCTCCAGTTAAGTTACAAAAATGCAATTGTCCTTATTTACTGCACGTGTACTACATGTGTTATCGTGCTGTCTTTCCACAGAGAAATACCTCCTATCTATAAAGGCTCCTCCCGTAGATATTTTCGCAAGCCTATTTGAACAAAGGACTACAGACACTTAGGCTTGGTGGAGCACGACAGTGGAAAGCAGGCGGACTGTTTACAATAATAACAGGATTGTTATGACGTGGCGTAACAGACAGCAGCTCCGACCAGCGGAGGAACTTCTGAAGCATCGGCAACACGCTAAATTTGGAAAGTGGTTACATCATCGCAGTGCGAGAAGGCGCAAGGGGCGGGACATCCGCTGGAGCTGGAGCGCCGAGCTCACCGCTGAGCGCTCGCTTCTGCTATATAAAACTCCGCCGTTCGCAAACTGAGAGGGGATCGCGGGCACTTACTCACTGTGCTTTGTTGGAAAGAATGGCGCTCTTTTCAAATTCTGAATTTTTCTGCTTTTGAATTAGTTTGCTTTTATGGTACAAGGGTTCTATGCATGTTGTTTCTTTTGCAGTTAAGAGAAAGGTCGTTATTATAATTCACAGAAATAATGAGATGTAGTGAGGATGTAAAAAATGGCTATTAATATAAAAAATGCCAAATATGACCCCGCGGTTGTCAAAAATGTGCTTAAGATATTCAGTTGCATTTAATACAGCCACTTTTGTGGTATCTGGTTGTGTCATTTATTGTCACTGCTTGAGCTGTCTCAAAATACACCTTGTATCCGTGGCGGAAATTCGAACAGCAAAACAAAATCATTACATTGATGCTTTCAGATTCAGTGTGTTTAAATACTCATATTTACACCTGTAAATAGGCCTACATACGTTTTATAGTGCAAACCTAGGCATTTCCAATATGTTAAGCGAATACTGGAAGGCATCGTTGCACAACGCGTAAAGAAACCCGTATAGGCTATAAGCTTATTTTGGAAGGCTTGTAGGTTTATTTATTAATTAAACAATGGATAAACTAAATTTAGAACAAACCGTCTACTTGGCATTTTTTGGGGGGGTCGCATGAAGTGCTGACATATAGATAATACATTTTAGGCCTTTATGTCGAAATGCTAACTCCAGAAATAGGTAGTAGTTTGTTGAAAACGACTTTGTCGTAGTAAAATGACGCTGTCTCAGGAATATTTAATTTAGAACAATTTTGGCAGAGCAACATTTAGTTTCCTGTTCATAGAACTTTCTGGCCTGTATATGGTCATCCAACCCGCTATTTCATTTGTTGCGTCACTAGGCCTATTGGTTATTACCCGTTCGAGCTTTTGTATTTGGCTTTTCGATCCCTTGTACTTTAAAGTCATGAAAAATATTTTATATTTCTGTTTAATAAATGATTGGTTATATTTCTTGTAATAAAATCAATAACGCACACGACATAGACCTCGTGAAAGCCACCGGCATACAGGCCAACTGTATGCGACGTAACCTTTAATTTCAACAGTTGTCATATATTTGAACTTGTTTTTTCTTCCGAATAACTAAATCTTAGTTTTTAATGTATATAACGTTTGAGGAAAGCAACTGGACGTTTTGTTTTTGGCCTTTACGTCATTGTAATTTGTATGTATTTAAGTAATGTACCTGTGGAATTATTTTAACATTTATTTGAGATTATTCCGACAACGTAAAATTCACTTATATTACCCGCATAGATTGGTCATATGAAGCCGTTCGGTTTTTTTTTTTTTTAAGATAAACCTGCAGAGAATGTGGCTCATCGACAATCGAAATGAACCGTCGAGCAATTTTATGCGTAAAATACGAACCGTTTAGTGCTTTTACACAGGCCTACAAGGAATTTACCTTGGGGTTGTCGTCCAAAACAATAAAGCACAACAAAGCCGACATCGCTCTTTCCCCACTGTAGTATCATGCATAACTCACCACTGGAAGCTCGGCTGCGCAGTTTCCTGCTTTCGGTTTTAAATTGTATTCATAGGAAGCTAAAGTATTTTTCTGGTAACTCAACCAAAGCTCAGTCTGTAGCTGTGGCAGTATTTACAGTTTAAGGTTATTGTTTTATGCATTTCTGTACTTCTGGATTTCATAGATTTACACATATGAGGTATGCTCTAGTGAATCAAATTAATTATCCAAGGAATATGTGGTTCAGCAGGTTTCCTTTACTCAGCAGTTGTTGTTACCTTACTCCACTAACAAGTGTTGTGTTGGATTCATTTTCTGCAGTCGTCATTCACATGCATTTATTGGCAACAGGATCCTCATACTGGTTAACTGTAGGTCAAATGGTGATTTATTTCTCCACAAAGGAAAGTGTGTTTTTAATTAACTCTTCAGATTTTGTGACACATTGTTTGTATTGAGTTATGAACCTGGATCCTTTAACAAAGGCTGTTACTTTCACCTTTGAATATATAAAATGAAGATTCCATTGTCTTTTTCAGACTGTAATTGGTCTTTATTCACATGAAATGCACACAAAATTCACACGGGTGAAGTAGTCACTAAAGCCATTCGTCCAGCAGGGTGTCTCTTTAGGGAGGGATGTCCCTGAGATCCTTAGCAGGGAACTCATGGTGTGATTGAGGAACTTCACTTCTTTTTGGTTAAGAGGTCAAAGGTCACTGTTGTGTTTTCAGGGTGAATTGCTAGCAACTATTGGCTGTTGATGGATGTGTTGTCACTGAAGTGTGCTGGCCCGAGCTACAATAGGAGATGCAGCCTTCCATACGTGCACTCACACTCCCCCCTCCTGCACCCTCCACCCCTGAGCCCCTTTCTTGCTGTTACGACATGGTTAAGGGCTCCAGCTGCTACTGATGTCTTTGACAAGGGGAACAAGAGGAAGGAGGGGAATCCCCCAGTGCATCAATGGGAGAAGAAGACCCATGACCCTCCCCACCTCCCCCCACCCCTGCAGGCCCCGCACACTCTCAGATTGTGGGGTATCACTGTATTGTTCAAGCAGTGATGGAGATGCACTGGAAGGCCTCAAAGTGTGTCCTTTATCTGGCTGTGCGTAGTTATGCAAACTGTTTACGGCCTCCGTTGTTTCTTATTTTTAACAGCATATCATAATAATATGGCAGTAAGCAGAAGTGATTTGAGTGCAAGGAAAGTGCGCTTGGATCACACTGGATAAAATATCTGACAATAACCTCATCGTATTTAATAAGCATTATGAAATATTGCTATATGATTATGTGCAGTAGTTACTTTTTAAATGTATTGGGAATAACTTATATGGCAAATTAAATTGTTAGTAGGTAAATCTCAAATGATGGTGAGACAGATTCAGTCTGTATGATATCAGCATTTCTTTGGTGTTCAGCTACAGGAATGTTTGACATTAGTAGACTTGTTTTTTTCAGAGCTCTTTGCCCTCTGCAAAAATACTAGTGGCATCTGGAAGTGTAGTTGTTTTGTGACTTGGCTGGTCTAAAACAGGTTTTACCCATGGTTTTATTTCTGGGAGAATATCATGTCTGTAAGATGTACTTTAACCTAAACTTTTTTTGCTTTTGGCGGGAACTTTTTGTCCTTCTGTCGCTGTCAGTGTGACCCAAAAGCAAATGGGCATCATTCATATCCGGAGTGTCATCCCAAAGACAGGGTGCTGAGCAACTTTGTGAATTTCTATGTTCTCCACAGACACCTAGATACACTGATGAATAACAAACCTTTGTTATTTTGTTGCTGTCATTCAACGTTCTAACAATAACTAAGATTAATGTAGTTAATCAATCTGTGAGTTTTTATTCACATCCTTAAACTCAATCCCAAGCAGGCAGCTATGCTATTTTAATGTACCCTAACAATATAATTGTCATATTCAGCTTTGGACATTAGAAATGAGCAGAAATGGGAGACCATATCATAATGTAATATAAGCTATATTAATTGGAAGAATTAAAATGGATACGATGCCAACTTTACATGATTTGGTAGGCTGGGATTATGAAGAATTCATAAGTACTGGAAACACTTCTATGAAAGACTTGGGGAAATAGCAAAAATATTATTTTATTTTTTTTAAATCAGTTCCTGCCAGCAACATGCCACCCTGACCTTTTTTCTCATCTCATCATCATGCTGTAAGATTTTCAGAAAGTCCCACGTCGTTCCTCTTACTAATACTCTATTTAATCCTTTCTCAAGGACATCTTCAGTGTTTTGAGTTTGTAACCCTAAATGCGTTCATAACATGCAGTTTTCTATAACACGGTTCTGCAGGCATCTCATTATGTATTGTTGCCCCATGGCACTCACCCAGTAACCATCTGTGTTCTTAACGGTCACGCTACTGGCTACTGCACCTGTGGTATGACTGTGCATTTAGCACAACACTGTCTAAACACACTGGAGAAGGCAGGCAAGGAATGCAGTACTGTAAACTGGGCAAAACTTTGAAG